CAACCCAATCCTTGAAGGGAAAACTATCTATTCTTTGCCCGTTAAATGATTGTTAGGGAATCTTTGGCGGCCCACTTGGACTTTTGCTGCTGCGCACCGGTTGAAGAACACTGTAGTAAAGGATACGCAGCTAACCTTTATGAAAAGTAATAGACGCGAGAACTTGGTTAAAAAGAGCAAGAGGAAGGCAAAGAGATAACAGTTCAGCCATATAGATGGGGTGAGACCAAAAAACTGACCTGATCCGTGATTCTGGTGATCGTGTGAGATTGCGAAAAATGATTGCCTGCCTTTATCGGTACGGCACACGATGTTGATGTGGTTTTTATGTGGAAAAAAGGGAGGGGAGTGGGAATTCTTTTCTTCCTCACTGTGAGTGACAGCCAACGAATAGTGCATGGTCCTGTTTGACTCCCATATCTTTACCTAGCTCATAAATGGCTAAAAAAAACACATCTTGTGTACGATGGTGGCCACATCACACGCAGGAAACGTCTTGGTTGACTGGGCTAAACTACGTGAGTGGAGCGGGAGTTGGTTGACTGGGCTAAACTACATGAGTGGAGCGGGAGTTGGTTGACTGGGCTAAATTACATGAGTGGAGCGGGAGTTGGTTGACTGGGCTAAATTACATGAGTGTGAACTGGGAGTTGGTTGACTGGGCTAAACTACGTGAGTGGAGCGGGAGTTGGTTGACTGGGCTAAACTACATGAGTGGAGCGGGAGTTGGTTGACTGGGCTAAATTACAAGAGTGGAGCGGGAGTTGGTTGACTGGGCTAAACTACATGAGTGGAGAGGGAGTTGGTTGACTGGGCTAAACTACATGAGTGGAGCGGGAGTTGGTTGACTGGGCTAAATTACGTGAGTGGAGCGGGAGTTGGTTGACTGGGCTAAACTACGTGAGTGGAGAGGGAGTTGGTTGACTGGGCTAAACTACGTGAGTGGAGCGGGAGTTGGTTGACTGGGCTAAACTACGTGAGTGGAGCGGGAGTTGGTTGACTGGGCTAAACTACGTGAGTGGAGCGGAAGTAATATCCTACTAAACTGGGAATGGACATCTCATGTGGATTGGGGTGTGAACAAAGGCTGGAGAATCTATATAGATCAACGTCGTTTTAAGCAAAACAGCAGTCAAGTAGCACACATGAGGCTTGTTCAGGAAATAACGGTTGACCATCAGGGAAGACATTCGGATCTCACTACATAAAACCACAAAGATAGACATAAGTTCTGATCGTCATATGTATAATGTTTAAAAAAAAGGGGGACAATTAAAACATATTAGCATATTAAAATGCTTAACCATTTTTTTCTCCTAAAACCACAATGAAGGAGGAAATTTAAGGCACGTTAGCAAAACAGAGACTTTGATACAAGTGGGAGGATAACATCAAAAGATGGATGACAACAGTCTGAGAAAGTGTACATTCTGAGGCGAAAGGCAGAGTGTATTGAAGATCCATTGCAGTTAAGCTTCATTGCTGAGACGGCAACTGACTGATAAAAATTCAGGTTCCTTAGCCCCAGGTTCCGGATCCCTCGCCTGTTGCACCCAGTACGACGTATCTAGATGATGATGATACACGTCAAGCGTTCAATAAATTTGGACAAGTGCACACACAACAGTATCAAACAGTCGAAAAACAAATAGCTAGGAAGAAACACACTTAACTGCGCTGCCCGGCACGACACATCAAGATGATGATGCACGTCAAACGTTCAATAAATTTGGACAAGTGCACACACAGCAGCAGCCAGCAGTCAAAAATCTATCGACAGCTGTCAACAATCATGGTTCCTTGTTTGAGACACTAGTCTTCTTCTCTCAAGTGATAGAATTAAACATCGAATACAGTTTATTAATTTTTACCAGATAGAGTCTTTACATAACACGTCTTAAAATACAAACTCTTTTGTATAGCTAACTCTTGTTCTGGGGTTTTAAGGGATTGACAATACATAAGGGGACTCTTCACTCTACTGACGGACTTTCTGAGGAAAGCTTGCTACAAGTGGTCGTCTGATGTGGTCTGATGTCTATCGATCCAGCTTATGTGACTGTGTACAACAAATACACGTACAAGTGTCTGACTTATGTACCCGGCGATTGTGAGACTGATCACATTGATGATTCTCGGAGCTATTTTATCTGTCACCCAGGGCCCCATTTTATTCACGACCAGGTAAATCTAATCAGTTGAATGAACCACACAGGGCCCCATTTTATTAACGACCAGGTAAATTAAATCATTGAATGAACCACAAAGGGCCCCATTTTATTAACGACCAGGTAAATCTAATCAGTTGAATGAACCACCCAGAAGTAAATTACTACTAATAAAATATGACATTGTCGTAAATTTAAGTAAATTGTTGCCCCAAACAACTTAATTTGTGTGATTTCACCCCCCCCCCCCCCCCCCCCCACCAACCTCTAGAGTTTACAGCTGGTGAACGCTAAGGATAAGAAGAAGATTCTACTGATAAACACACATTCCACAACTGATGTTGGCAAGGACGCTTGCTTGCATCTCACGACCTTCAGCAGAATGTATGCTACTTTTCTGTTTGTTCACCCCTTCTCTGAGATTCTGTGGATCAGTTTCCAGGAAAGTAAAACTTCGGTGTTATGGGGGAGGGGGGGAAGGGAGTAGTGTTGGTCAGTGTTCATTTCACACCCTTACACCCCTATCCTGTTGGGCTTTCCCGGGAACTCCCCGTGAAATTTTGGTTTCTGAGATGGGGTGAGCAAAAAGAAGAGGACCAAGTGTATCATTTCATTTGCTGATATGGAAAGCATAGTTGTCCACACCTCTATGGTTATTCTCAAAAAGGTTCCTAAATGAGTGGCCTGGCCAACACAGATAGGATGAATTTTTTTTTTTTTTTTAAGTTTAAGTGTATCTGAAAGATAGGCCGGGAACCAGCGGTCTGCACACAAATATGCCAGATCTGTAAAGTGGCTGTGCAACACTCACATTCTGCAATAAGACCGAAGTCTAGTTATAGATCAACAACCAAAGCTTTCCACCAGAGTTTGCAGCCGGTGAAGAAGACAAATGTGGTTAAGGGCAAACACAGAAGCAGAAGAAATGTCAAGAATCTTTTTTTTTTAAAACTGTCCTTCCCCCATCTTTTTCAGCTTTTTCCTCCAGTGGTATTTGTAAGGGCTTCACAGACCATGCTTCGGAAAATTGAAACTGGCATCCTAGCTGTAGAGTGGCTTGCGTCACTTCATAAGACCAAGATCAGAAGCAAATCATGGATTTTCTGTTCAGAATATTTGTGTGTGCTGGGTAATGATTAGGCTGAAAGATTGGCTGCTGCCACACCTCTGGGTGGTGAGCCATCCTTATGATAACGTGGACAGTGCAGAGAGTCCATACATTTAAAGACTAATTCATTAGTGGGGGAGGGTGGTGAATAGAGGTTCTGGCAGATATACAGCACTACCTGGTACTGTTGCATGTCAACTCTTGGTCGGCTACTGAGGAAGGAGACGAAACACTGTGGGAATGTCTCGAGAGCAATGATGTCCAGTCTTCAATCATTCATTCTCTATTTGTAACTGTATTTTCCAGTCTCTTCTTTTCAGGACAGGAACAGCATGATTGTAATTTTAAAATGTTACTTCAAATAACCGTCTCCTTCAAGAAGTGTTAGAGAAAGAGAAGCGTGTACCAAATATGGTAAAATACTCACATCAGTTGAGATTTAAATAAAATTTTAACCTCCCTTTGTGGGTTTTGGGACCCTAGTTTGGTTGGGGGGGGGGCGGGGGCATAGAATAGACCCACTGTCCCCTGTCAGAATGCATATGCATGAGAGGAGAGGAACCAACAGTCTACATACACATAAGCCAGATCTGTAAAACAGATGTGCATGCAACATTCAGGTTCTGGAATGAGACCAGAGTACAGAAGTGGACGAGCAAGCAGAGATTTCCACTAGAGTTAACAGCTGGTGAATGTTAAGAACAACAAGAAGAAGAAATCCTAACCTGCGCAGTTTGTGGTGACCACACTGTCCATACAGCCTCAGGCTTAAGGACCCTATTGTCCTACTCTGCCCTAAAACAAAAACTACAGTAATTACAGGCGGTAAGGTCAGGTAACTCTTTTTGTCACAAACAATGCACTGTGCATGATTGGGTATTATTCAGATGTACTCCCCGTGTGGGTTCTGGGGCCCCACTGTTTGTTCTAGGGCCCCATTGTGGGGAAGATACGAATAGACCCACTGCCAGCCGGAAAGCATGTCGTAAGAGTAGGCAAATTGGGAGCTTCCTTAAAAGTAGGAGTGCATCTACCTGAGAGGCAAGGAACCAACAGTCTGCATACAGATGAGTCAAATTTGTAAAACATTTGTGCATGCAACAGCACTAGAGTCCAGAAGGGGACTGACAATCAGAATGTTTGAGCCAGAGTTTACAGCCGGTGAATGCAAAGAAAAAGTCACATGTTACCAGTCAATACATTATTATATCTTTAGATGTTGTGTTTAGCGAGGGACTCTGAAGAACTCTGAGAACATCAGTATTCTGCAAGGGTTATATATGTGGCCCCTAAGTAGTATACCCTTACTTAGTCTTACTTTGTCGCTCCTCTTCTACCTTGGGGTGTAGAGGTTTGCCAGAGATCACCAGACGTCTCTATCTGCAGTTTTATTTCTAGCTTTGTTCCATTCCAGTCCTCTGTCAGTTAGGGACTGTCGGATGTTCCCCAGTGAACCCTTGCGGTCTGATTTCCTGGTTGTTAGCCTCCCATGCTTGCCATGGTGGCCGATTTTCTCCCATTCTGCATACATGTCCAAACCATCGTAACTGTGACTGATCCACTCGGGTTTGTAGGGCCTGGGAGGATTATACCCATGAGTTTAATAATGCACTTGAAAACTCCATCAGACATTAGCTAAGACATTGTGGGACTGAAAGAGTTAAGAATTGAAAGGCTACTGTATTGTTCTTGTTTATTAAACAGTCATGTGGTGGCAGAAGAAGTGTCGCCTGATGATGTTTTAACCCCGTACAAGACACATCATGGGCCCTTGCACAGACGACACAGAGAGACCAGGTCTTGTCAGTCAGTCAAGTACAGGAATGTCACCCACACAAAACACGGGGCCCAGTCTGGAGCTACTACACTTCTCCCCCTGGTTGAGACTCATCATATTGTAAAAGAGGTAACTTAGACTTTATTTGTGGTCTAGTCCAGTGTTTCTGACACTTTCTACACCAACGACCCACTGAAACAGGGGAAATTGTTTCATGGCCCACCTGCACTTTTCCCCACCCACTGGTTGAAAAACACTGTTTTTACTGGAAGACTGGAGGTACCAGCTGAGATATCTCACTAGATTATCTCAACTCAGAAAAGAAAAATATCATGGATTTTGTTGGGTCCAGGATATTCAGATGTGCTTGGTAATGAGCAGGCTGATAGATTAAGTGCTGCCACTCCTCTGTGTAGGGAGCTACTTTACCATAAAGCAGACCTGGTGAAGCCTCTTTGGGATCAAATAAACAGTGCAGCGGAACAGACAGTGCATTCATGTCTGGATGGCTTCAGCTAGGAGTCAGCTGTGGGCAGGCCTAGATGATATTCTACCTGCAGGGGCGAAACCCACACACTTTCAACCGGTTTGCAACTGGAACCATCAGTTTTGGAATTGACTGCTGATGAAGGGGACGGAGCATGTATGGGAGGGTCCCCAGTGCAGTGATGTCCATTCTTTTGATTTTTTTGCATTCATTAGGTTATCTCATTAGATAATCGTACAAGGTTATTTTTTTTAGTGTGTCTGATAAGATTATTTGATTAGTTTTTTTTAAAATTAGGTTATCTCATTAGGTTATTGCCTGAGGTTAAATCATTAGATTTTCTTTTTACGTTATCTCATTAGTATGTCTCATTATGTTATCCCGTTAGTGTAATCTGGTAATCTCATTAGTGTGTCTCATTCAGGTAACTTTTTAGGTTTTTTCATAAGGTTATCTCATTAGGTTGTCATTTTGGTTATCTTATTAGATGCGTTAATTATATCAGTGTTATCAGCATCATCAGTCATTAGCAATATCACGCCATTTCCACCTCCCACATAAACACCCCCACCTCTACAACCACCACCACTACCACCACATTCATCATAAACACTACCACCGATACCACCACAATTGTCATGAACACCACCACCACAATCATCATGAACACCACCAATGAACACCACCACTACTACCACCACAATCATCATGAACACCACCACTACTACCACCACAATCATGAACACCACCACCACCACAATCATAATGCACACCACTACCATCACAATCATGAACACCACTACCACCACAATCATCATGAACACCACCAACACTACCACCACAATCATCATAAACACCACTACCACCACAATCATAATGCACACCACTACCATCACAATCATGAACACCACTACCACCACAATCATCATGAACACCACCAACACTACCACCACAATAATCATGAACACCACTACCACCACAATCATCATGAAAACCACTACCACCACAATCATGATAAACACCACCACCACCACAATCATCATAAACACCACTACCATCACAATCATCATGAACACCACTACCATCACAATCATGAACACCACTACCATCACAATCATGAACATCACTACCATCACAATCATGAACACCACTACCACCACAATCATAATGAACACCACTACCATCACAATCATAATGAACACCACTACCATCACAATCATGAACACCACTACCATCACAATCATGAACACCACTACCACCACAATCATAATGAACACCACTACCACCACAGTCATCATGAACACCACTACCATCACAATCATCATGAACACCACTACCATCACAATCATCATGAACACCACTACCACCACAATCAACATGAAGACCACAATCATCATAAATACCACTACCACCACAATCATCATGAACACCACCATCACCACAATCATCATGAACACCACTACCATCACAATCATGAACACCACTACCACCACAATCATCATGAACACCACTACCACCACAGTCATGAACACCACTACCACCACAATCATCATGAACACAACTACCATCACAATCATCATGAACACCACTACCACCACAATCATCATGAACACCACTATCACCACACTCATCATGAACACCACTATGACCGAAATTATGAACACCACAATCATCATGAACACCACTATGACCACAATCACGAACACCACTATCACCACAATCATCATGAACACCACGATGACCACAATCATGAACACCACCACCACTATGACCACAATCATGAACACCACCACTACCACCCACAACAGTGCTGCTGCTACTTCTGGATATAGTTATACCACAGTTGCTGAAGCCACACTTGACATCTTTTAGATGGGCTCTTACAGCTGGGACAAGAAACCAGTCTACATCAACCATCAAGTGGTCAACAGTCCGTTAACCACCTGGTCAGTACTGGAACCGGTTCACCCTGGAACATGCCAGAACGGCTCAGCTGAGAGAGCAACAGTCGAGGAGTCTTCACGGCAAAAACAGTGTCTGGTGGCCACCAATGGCGGCTTCTTTAACACTCACACTGGAGAGTGCCAAGGTGTGATTTTGTCTTGTCTGGTTGTGTCTGCCTTGTCTTGTCTTCTGTGTTCTGTCTTGTCTGGTTGTGTCTTGTCTTCTGTGTTCTGTCTTGTCTGGTTGTGTCTTGTCTTCTGTCTGTCTTGTCTGTGTCTTGTCTTCTGTGTTCTGTCTTGTCTGGTTGTGTCTTGTCTTCTGTGTTCTGTCTTGTCTGGTTGTGTCTTGTCTTCTGTGTTCTGTCTTGTCTGGTTGTGTCTTGTCTTCTGTGTTCTGTCTTATCTTGGCTTGTCTATCATGGTTCATCTTGTCGTCTCTGTTATCCTGTCTGTCATATCTTGTCAGTCTTGTCTTATCTTATCATCTGTTTTGTCTTGTCTTTAATGTCTTGTCTCATCTTCTCTTGTCTTGTCTCACTCAGTATTGTCTTGTGTTGCCCTGCCTTATCTTATTTGTCTGTTCTGAGCCTGTCTTGTCTCATCCTGTCTTGTCTTGTCTGAGCCTGTCTTGTCTTGTCTTGCCTTGTCTTGTCTTATCTTGTCTGAGCATGTGACTGTAATTTTAATAATTTTTGAGGTTTTCATTTGAAACCTTACTATACAACATGGCAGGACTCTCTAATCATCAGTGTAAATCTATTCATACGTTTGTTTATTAGGAAACATTGTTAGTGATGGATTCCTTGTTCGAGACTCTGGTGGCATTCAGAACGCACATTTTGGGCTCACCAAGGATGGATTTATCTACACAGGGTATGTGTGTGTGTTGTCTGTGGTTGTCTGCTACACTGTTCTTTTTTTGGTACACTGGGGCGGTCATAACCAGTTGGATTAGGTATGACTGGTTGAGCTCAGGTCTGGCAGGACAGAGCAGGATGTTAGCCTTGGCTGTCAGCTGGATTAGGAAGGAAACTGAACAGGTTGACAGACAGGGCACTGCTGTTCTGATCTGGCAGCAAGTCTAGGAAGGAAACTCTGACTATCATGAGTCAACTTTACCACACACTGTGAGATAAAGACAAACAACGACTAGACTGACTCATAACAGCAGACAGGTCAATTACTGGTCAGACGGGTTGTGTGTAGACCGTGCACGGCTCTTCTGGTCTGAGTGGGGAGGTTACAGGTCTGGACAAACAGGTAGAGTGACACACGGACAGTTAGTAGTTGACAGTCCAGTGAACTGTGTTTTTTGGGGCCTTTTCTGGGAATTGTTTTTCGCTTGGAAGGACTGGATTTGACAGGTTGACAGACAGTGTAGTGGTTATTCTACTGGTGACATCTGGCATAGCTGGTTATAAAGTTAAGTGAAACTCTGACAGGATGACAGATTGCTATAGAGGCATCAGCTAGCCTCTCTGACTCTGGAAGCTGGATTAGTTTGGAATCTCTGACAGGTTGTTGTTGTATGCAGCCAGCCCTTCTGATCTGTGCTTGCCATAAGAATAAAAATGGGAAGGAAACTCTGACAGGTTTGACAGACAGTGCACTTTGCCCTTCTGATTCTGGCAGCTTATTGGAAACTGGAAACTCTGACAGCGTTTACAGACATGTGCACTGTGGGTACACCTGGCTGATCTGGCAGCTGTACTGGGAAGGACACTCTGACAGGTTCTGACAGACAGTGCACTGCTCTTCTGATCTGGCAGCTGGTCTGGGAAGGAAACTCTGACAGGTTGACAAACAGTGCACTGCCCTTCTGATCTGGCAGCTGGTCTAGGAAGGAAACTCTGACAGGTTGACAGACAGTGCACTGCCCTTCTGATCTGGCAGCTGGTCTAGGAAGGAAACTCTGACAGGTTGACAGACAGTGCACTGCCCTTCTGATCTGGCAGCTGGTCTAGGAAGGAAACTCTGACAGGTTGACAGACAGTGCACTGCCCTTCTGATCTGGTAGCTGGTCTGGGAAGGAAACTCTGACAGGTTGACAGACAGTGCACTGCCCTTCTGATCTGGCAGCTGGTCTAGGAAGGAAACTCTGACAGGTTGACAGACAGTGCACTGCCCTTCTGATCTGGCAGCTGGTCTGGGAAGGAAACTCTGACAGGTTGACAGACAGTGCACTGCCCTTCTGATCTGGCAGCTAGTCTAGGAAGGAAACTCTGACAGAGCACTGCTCTTCTGATCTGGCAGCTAGTCTAGGAAGGAAACTCTGACAGAGCACTGCTCTTCTGATCTGGCAGCTGGTCTAGGAAGGAAACTCTGACAGAGCACTGCTGTTCTGATCTAGCAGTTAGTGCATCATTTTGTTTGAAAATACTGGTGTTACTTTCCTTATGGAGTCAACAGAGCAAGAGGGATTCGTGCTTCATAGGAAACACATGGTTTGTACAGTATTGCCCATGTTTTTTGTGTGTGTGTGTTGGACAGAAGGAACTTTATACCTGACCCTATTTGATATCACCATTAAATCTGATTCCCATGCCTGCCTCTGGCACAGCAGAACATTATTGTCCAGGAATAGGGAAATGGTGCCAGCATGAAACAGTCTAGAAAGTACTTGGTCTGAGCTTGTTGAGGTCCTGTGCTCCCCAGGGAGATGACAGACCCCACAGTTTGAGGAGATATTGCTAGCATTATGGTCTGCTATTTGTAATATCTTTATATTGAACGCAGGCATTGAACGCAGGCATTGAACGCAGGGATTGAACGCAGGCATTGAACTCAGGCATTGTCTTTAAAAAGAAAATTGCTTGTCCTTTACAAGATAGTGTAGAATCCATGTTTTGGCTTTTTGTGATTTTACATTTAGTAGTTTCCATGTTTTGGCTTTTTGTGATTTTACATTCAGTAGTTTGCCCTTGCTTTCTGAATGGTCATCTCTTTATATCACTGTTGAAACCATGCAGTGCGGTCTGCTGTCTAATCACCTGCAACTGGGATTAAACCCGGTACCACGGAATTAAGAAGTGCGTTCACAGTGCCTAAGCCACAGGTTTAAACAGTAACATCTCCATGTTAGTTTTGCGGCTCATTTTTTGGGGAAAGATTTTAAAAAAATAGTCCTGCTACTACTTAACAAGCATGCCATAAAAGGCAACTAATTAAGAATTCACTTAAATCAGATGTGTTGGACCGAAAGGTGCATATATCACAGCCTTGCTGTACACCACAACATAGTATGCCTACTGCTCTGTTAAGCGTGATTGCAGAAGAAGAAACAGTAGCAGCACTGTTTGTTTCATGTGTAAAACCTGTACTGGTTCAGATCTTGCTACCCCCATGTGGACCCCAGGGCCCCATGTTGGGTAAAAAAACGGATAGACCTAGTGACCCCCAAAGTGGAGGCCAGGTTAATTCACTGATATTTTGATTTTGATCTTGATTCAAGAACCGACATCACAGTACTCTCAGGTCCCCCTGTAAGGCTCAGATCCTATCCCCATCTTCACCTCAGCCCCTGTATAGTTCCGATCTTGGTACCCCCAGTGTGGACCCCAGGTCCCCCTGTACTGGCTTGCCTTTCTCTGAGCCTCAAGTATCTGCTCAGGTCCTCTCGTACTCCCTCAGATCTTCTACTCCCCATGAGGACCCCAGGATCCATCTGCTCCTGGAACAGACCAAGCTACCCCCAAGGTGGACCCCAGGTCCCCCTGTACTCATGCATCAGATATTGCTACCAAGCTGTGGACCCCAGGCCCCCCTGTCTGTCTCAGATCTTGCTACCCCCATGTGGACCCCAGGTCCCCTTGTGAAAAAATCAGACAATGCTACCCACATGTGTCCTCCGCAAGATTTTCGCTTCAAAGTCAGACCTTGTACCCCCATGCTTGAGAACAGGTCCCCCTCTGCATACAAATCTCAGATCTGTAAAGTAGATGTGTAAACACCAGGGCTTCAGTTACTAGATCAAGATCTTGTCCAGAAATCAACAGCCAAACCTTGTCCCCCTGGACTTTGCAGCAGGTGAATGCTACCCCCATGTGGAAAAGAGATCCCCCTGTATGGCTCAGATCTTGCTACCCCCATGTGGACCCTGGGGCTAGCTGTGTGACACTGGCTCAGATCTTGTACCCCTATGTAGAGCTCTTTGTCCCCTGTACTGGCTCAGATCTTGCTACCCCCATGTGGACCCCAGGTCCCCCTGTACTGGCTCAGATCTTGCTACCCCCATGTGGACCCAGGGCCCCATGTTGGGTAAAAAAACGGATAGACCTAGTGACCTAACAAAGTCATTAGAGGCCATTAATTCAAGATATTTTGATTTTGATTTGATTCAAGAACCGACATCACAGTACTCTGGGCATTCCCGTAAGCGCTCCATCCCCATCTTCAGCAGCCAGCGAATAGTTCCGATACTAATGGTGCCAGTAGTACTGGTGATATGAATGTCCGTACAGTAGCCTCTTCCTCTGGGTGCTCAAGTATCTGCTGAAATGATGTCAGTCCAGTTTGATCAACTCACCTGGGTGTGGTGATCCATCTGCTCCTGTGTCTGTACATATCTGAGTTCCACAAGGCACTACCCACGTCTGCCTTAGTCATTTGATGTATTCCACCAAGCTGTGCAGAGCCTTTGTGTCTGTCCGGTGTTCATTTGTGTGACACCGGCATTCCTTGGTGAAAAAAATCCAGACAATACTCCTCACCTGTGTCCTCCGCAAGATTTTCGCTTCAAAGTCAGGATGCCCCTACTTGAGAACAAGTACCAGTCTGCATACATCTCCTCCAGATCTGTGACAAAGGTATATGTGTACACAAAACAGTTCTAGCTCAAGATCACAGTCCAGAAATCATACTGGTGAAATGATGCCCCTGGAGTTTGCAGCTCTTTGAATGGGTCCTGCAGAAATAAAAAGAGATATGATGTCAGAACTGTAGAGCTCTTTATCTGGGGCTAGCTGTGTGACACTGGTGATATGATGTCAGTACAGTAGAGCTCTTTGTCTGAGTGCTGTGTGACACTGGTGATATGATGTCAATACAGTAGAGCTCTTTGTCTGGGTGCTGTGTGATACTGGTGATATGATGTCAGTACAGTAGAGCTCTTTGTCTGGGTGCTGTGTGATACTGGTGATATGATGTCAGTACAGTAGAGCTCTTTATCTGGGTGCTGTGTGATACTGGTGATATGATGTCAGTACAGTAGAGCTCTTTATCTGGGTGCTGTGTGATACTGGTGATATGATGTCAGTACAGTAGAGCTCTTTGTCTGGGTGCTGTGATTGACTTGTGTGTGTCGTCAGATATCTGTCTGAGTTGGACCTGGTGCTTCAAGACTTCACTCAGTTGGTCGGAGGAGTGTCTGTCTGGTATGAGTGGAGACAGTAGAGCTCTTTGTCTGGGTGCTGTGCCATCGAGTGCTGTGTGTCAGAAGATATGATGTCAGTACTTAGAGCTCTTTGTCTGGGTGCTGTGATTATGTTTTGTGATCTGTGTGTTAACTTCATGTCATATACAGTAGAGCTCTTTGTCTGTGTGACTGTGTGTCATATGTTGACTTGTGTGTGTTCAGGTGCTAGATATTGTGATCTGTAGTGGTCAATACAGTAGAGCTCTTTGTCTGGGTGCTGTGATTGACTTCTGTGTGTCGTCAGATATGATGTCAATACAGTAGAGCTCTTTGTCTGGGTGCTGTGATTGACTTCTGTGTGTGTCGTCAGATATGATGTCAATACAGTAGAGCTCTTTGTTAACTTCAGTGTCTGGGTTTGAATCTGTAGTGTGTCTTCAGATATCTGTCAATGAGTCTGTAGTGATGACTTCAGTGTCATAGTTGTGGTCTGTAGTGGTGACTTCAGTGTCATATGTTTTGATTTCAGTAGTGGTGAGACCTTCTTTGTCATATGCTGTGATTGACTTGTGTGTGTCGTCAGATATCTGTCTGAGTTGGACCTGGTGCTTCAAGACTTCACTCAGTTGGTCGGAGGTGTTGTCTGGCTGGTCAGGGATGGAGAGAACTATGTTGATGAAAGCAAGGCCATCGAGTGCTCCGACACAGAAGAGACGGGTAGGTCTTGAGTTAAGGACTTCAGTGTCATATGTTGTGATCTGTAGTGGTGACTTCAGTGTCATATGTTGTGATCTGCAGTGGTGACTTCAGTGTCATATGTTGTGATCTGTAGTGGTGACTTCAGTGTCATATGTTGTGATCTGTAGTGTTAACTTCAGTGTCATATGTTGTGATCTGTAGTGTTAATTTCAGTGTCATATTTTGTGATCTGTAGTGGTGACTTCAGTGTCATATGTTGTGATCTGTAGTGGTGACTTCAGTGTCATATGTTGTGATCTGTAGTGGTGACTTCAGTGTCATATGTTGTGATCTGTAGTGGTGACTTCAGTGTCATATGTTGTGATCTGTAGTGGTGACTTCAGTGTCATATGTTGTGATTTGTAGTGGTGACTTCAGTGTCATATGTTGTGATCTGTAGTGGTGACTTCAGTGTCATATGTTGTGATCTGTAGTGGTGACTTCAGTGTCATATGTTGTGATTTGTAGTGGTGACTTCAGTGTCATATGTTGTGATTTGTAGTGGTGACTTCAGTGTCATATGTTGTGATCTGTAGTGGTGACTTCAGTGTCATATGTTGTGATTGTGATTTGTATCGGTGACTTAGTGAGTCTTGCACTGACCTCTAGAACCTTACATCATTGGGGTTAACCTAGCCACTAAAATGGATCTCTCTTGAGGTTACTCTGAGGCTGCTGTGTGATGGGGTTCTTCTTCTGCATTCAACTTGAAAAAGACGGTTGGCATGTTTTTGTATGGTTTACATCTAGGCTGTGAAATCTACACATTCATCGGATGCCAGACCATAATAACTGCTTGTTTGCTAGTAATTTGTTCATTGTATTGGGTTTTATTGTAAGGGGGGCAATTTGATTGTTGGGGGATGGGGGAAGGGGGGGGGGGGGTTTGTTCGAAAGTGAACTCGTCCAGAGGTGAGTTTAAGTTACATAGGGGGTATAAGAATTTTAGAAAGGCTTCGATGGGGGATGGCACAGAAAAGGTTGGGAACCACTATTAAAGTGCCTTTAGATTTCCAGTTAACTGTAACAGTTTCTTGTCTGCAGGGGCCATGGATCGCTTTGTCACAGTGATGTCTGCTCGCAGTGCTGTAGGTCACGATGCCAAAGGTCGCATACATATGGTGCAGGTCAATGGCAGAACTGATGTTTCAGGGTGGGTAGCTGGAAGATTGTGTGTCTTTCACACACACACAAAATATGTTCCAAAGGAAATAGATCTGCATTGTTGTTCCTATGTTCTCCATGAAAATTAGATATTGTATCTGTAGTGCTGTTTTTGTATTCCCTGGGTGAATTAGATATTGTATCTTCAGTGCTGATTCTGTATTCCCTGGATGAATTAGATATTGTATCTTTAGTGCTGTTTTTATATTCCCTGGGTGAATTAGATATTGTATCTTCAGTGCTGTTTCTGTATTCCCTGGATGACTTAGATGTAGTACTGTTTCTGTATTCCCTGGATGAGTTAGATGTAGTACTGTTTCTGTATTCCCTGGATGAATTAGAAACAATAATGTTTCTGTATTCCATGGGTAAATTAGTTATTGTGTCCTTGTCGGGGAAAACAAGAATTTACCAAAATTGTCCTTAGCAAGCATGTTATAGGAGTCTACCAACTGGGGGCATCTTTTGAGAGGCAAGGAGCCAACAATCTTAATACAAATAAACCAGATTTGTGAACCATTGTGCATGCAACACTCAGGTTTTCAAACAAGACTCAAGTCTGAAGGTGGACGAACACCCAGAATTTAAAGCCGGTGAAGATCTGGGGGTAAAGATCTCTTTTCCAAACTTGAATGTTGAATTTAGAATCGACATCACAGTAAACATGGAAACCCCCATAAGCGCTGTGTCTCCATCTTCAGCAGCAAGCAAAGAGTTCCAATTCTGATGGCACCAGTAGCTGTCTGATTGTATATCGGTCTTGCCTTTCCCGTAGGTGATGAGCATTTTGTTGAGTGTTTTCCATTCATTTGTTTGTTCGGATGTCTATGTGGCCTTCACTGCAGACATGTATATGTTCGAATGTCTATGTGGCCTTCACTGCAGACATGTATATGTTCGAATGTCTATGTGGCCTTCACTGCAGACATGTGTATGTTCGGATGTCTATGTGGCCTTCACTGCAGACATGTATATGTTCGAATGTCTATGTGGCCTTCACTGCAGACATGTGTATGTTCGGATGTCTATGTGGCCTTCACTGCAGACATGTGTATGTTCGGATGTCTATGTGGCCTTCACTGCAGACATGTGTATGTTCGGATGTCTATGTGGCCTTCACTGCAGACATGTGTATGTTCGGATGTCTATGTGGCCTTCACTGCAGACATGTGTATGTTCGGATGTCTATGTGGCCTTCACTGCAGACATGTGTATGTTCGGATGTCTATGTGGCCTTCACTGCAGACATGTGTATGTTCGGATGTCTATGTGGCCTTCACTGCAGACACGTGTATGTTCGGATGTCTATGTTTCCTTCACTGCAGACATGTGTAGAGATGTACCCCTCCTCCCCACACACATGTGTGCCTACATACGCACAGCACTTCTACCCATGTGAGGCACATGCACATTATACATATACACCACCATATTCCTCCTTTTCCTCCCCAAATCCAAGCTTGTTATTACTGCACAGCTACAAGTGTAACAAATGTTTAAAAAAAAATTATCTTCTCCCTCACACAGATAAAGTACATCTACTCATTTATACACACACACACTCGCACATATACACATGCACACACACCTGCACAAACACATACACACATTCACATACATTTATAACGATCTCCTTCCACCCTTTGCTCTTATGCACACACACACACACACACACACACACACACACACACACACACACACACACACACACACACACACACACACACACACACACACACACACACACACACACACACACACACACACACACACACACACACACACACACACACACACACACACACACACACACACACACACACACACACACACACACACACACACACACACACACACACACACACACACACACACACACACACACACACACACACACACACACACACACACACACACACACACACGCACACGCACGCGCACGCGCACGCGCACGCGCACGCGCACGCGCACGCGCACGCGCACGCGCACGCGCGCGCGCGCGCGCGCGCGCACACACACGCGCGCCTGCCGCGCACACACACGCGCGCACACGCGCGCACCAAAGTCCACCACACACACACACAGACACTTTCTGTCGAAGTTTACAGCTGTCGAATGCTAAGAAGAAGAAGAAGGATGTATTGTAGGAAGTCCCCATGTGGGTTCCTGGGCCCCCTATGTGGGTTCCTGGGCCCCCCATGTGGGTTCCTGGGCCCCCATGTGGGTTCCTGGGCCCCCCATGTGGGTTCCTGGGCCCCCATGTGGGTTCCACACACCCCCATGTGGGTTCACCCCATGTGGCCCACCCCATGTGGGTTCCTGGGCCCCTATGTGGGTTCCTGGGCCCCCCATGTGGGTTCCTGGGCCCCCTATGTGGGTTCCTGGGCCCCCCATGTGGGTTCCTGGGCCCCCTATGTGGGTTCCTGGGCCCCCACATGGGTTCCTGGGCCCCCTATGTGGGTTCCTGGGCCCCCATGTGGGTTCTGGGGAAAACAAGAAAGACACACTGCCTCCTCAACAAGCATGTCATAGGAGTCTATTAATTAGGGGCTTCCTTGAAAATGGGAGTGCATCTGCCCGACCAGCAAGGAACAATCAACTACTGCATACAAATAAGCCAGTAAAAGGATTGACATGCAAAACCCAGGCCCTGACACAAAGCCAAAGTACAGATGGACAAACAATTAGTTTTTTGTGTGCTGGAGTTTACAGTTGGTGAACGAAGAAGAAGAAGAAATATTGTAAGACGCCCTGTTTAGAAATGGAGTACAGAATGGTCTTCACATTCTGACTATCAGCTTCTCATGATGCAGATGAGGTCCCTTTCAGTGACATGTGTAGCTTGGGAACAGACATTATGTGGAGCTTCTCTTTGGGAGTTTGCTCCCTTTGAAACTAGAGCAATGTTGGGTTTAGCCAAGACAAGTGGAGCCAGATCTAAACATGACTGGGTGCAATGTTGAGTTTAGCCAAGACAAGTGGAGCCAGATCTAAACATGGCTGGGTACAATGTTGAGTTTAGCTAAGACAAGTGGAGCCAGATCTAAACATGACTGGGTACAATGTTGAGTTTAGCTAAGACACGTGGAGCCAGATCTAAACATGACTGGGTGCAATGTTGAGTTTTAGCTAAGACAAGTGGAACCAGATCTAAACATGGCTGGGTACAATGTTGAGTTTAGCTAAGACACGTGGAGCCAGATCTAAACATGACTGGGTGCAATGTTGAGTTTTAGCTAAGACAAGTGGAGCCAGATCTAAACATGGCTGGGTACAAAGTTGAGTTTAGCTAAGACAAGTGGAGCCAGATCTAAACATGACTGGGTACAATGTTGAGTTTAGCTAAGACACGTGGAGCCAGATCTAAACATGACTGGGTGCAATGTTGAGTTTAGCTAAGACAAGTGGAGCCAGATCTAAACATGGCTGGGTACAATGTTGAGTTTAGCTAAGACAAGTGGAGCCAGATCTAAACATGACTGGGTACAATGTTGAGTTTAGCTAAAAAGTGGAGCCAGATCTAAACATGACTGGGGTGCAATGTTGAGTTTAGCTAAGACAAGTGGAGCCAGATCTAAACATGGCTGGGTACAATGTTGAGTTTTAGCTAAGACAAGTGGAGCCAGATCTAAACATGGCTGGGTACAATGTTGAGTTTAGCTAAGACAAGTGGAGCCAGATCTAAACATGGCTGGGTGCAATGTTGAGTTTAGCTAAGACAAGTGGAGCCAGATCTAAACATGACTGGGTGCAATGTTGCTAGTTTAGCTGGCCTTGACATGCAAGTTGAGCCAGATCTAAACATGGCTGGGTACAATGTTGAGTTTAGCCATGGACAAGTGGAACCCAGATCTAAACATGACTGGGTACAATGTTGAGTTTTAGCTAAGACAAGTGGAACCAGATCTAAACACTGGCTGGGTACAATGTTGAGTTTAGCCATGACAAGTGGAGCCAGATCTAAACATGGCTGGGTGCAATGTTGAGTTTTAGCCCCCCAAGTGGAGCCAGATCTAAACATGGCTGGGTTCAATGTTGAGTTTAGCCAATGTTGGGTTCCTAGCCCTAAACAAGTGGGGTTCAAGTTGAGTTTAGCTAAAACAGTGGAGCCAGGGTGGGTACAATGTTGAGTTTAGCTAAGACAAGTGGAGCCAGATCTAAACATGGCTGGGTGCAATGTTGAGTTTAGCTAAGACAAGTGGAGCCAGATCTAAACATGGCTGGGTGCAATGTTGAGTTAGCTAAGACAAGTGGAGCCAGATCTAAACATGACAAGGTGCAATGTTGAGTTTAGCAATTTAGCCACAAGTGGAGCCAGATCTAAACATGGCTGGGTGCAATGTTGAGTTTAGCCAAGACAAGTGGAGCCAGATCTAAACATGGCTGGGTGCAATGTTGAGTTTAGCTAAGACAAGTGGAGCCAGATCTAAACATGGCTGGGTACAATGTTGAGTTTAGCTAAGACAAGTGGAGCCAGATCTAAACATGACTGGGTGCAATGTTGAGTTTAGCTAAGACAAGTGGAGCCAGATCTAAACATGGCTGGGTACAATGTTGAGTTTAGCTAAGACAAGTGGAGCCAGATCTAAACATGGCTGGGTGCAATGTTGAGTTTAGCTAAGACAAGTGGAGCCAGATCTAAACATGGCTGGGTGCAATGTTGAGTTTAGCCAAGACAAGTGGAGCCAGATCTAAACATGACTGGGTACAATGTTGAGTTTAGCCAAGACAAGTGGAGCCAGATCTAAACATGGCTGGGTGCAATGTTGAGTTTAGCTAAGACAAGTGGAGCCAGATCTAAACATGGCTGGGTACAATGTTGAGTTTAGCTAAGACAAGTGGAGCCAGATCTAAACATGGCTGGGTACAATGTTGAGTTTAGCCATGACAAGTGGAACCAGATCTAAACATGGCTGGGTACAATGTTGAGTTTAGCTAAGACAAGTGGAGCCAGATCTAAACATGACTGGGTACAATGTTGAGTTTAGCTAAGACAAGTGGAGCCAGATCTAAACATGACTGGGTACAATGTTGAGTTTAGCTAAGACAAGTGGAGCCAGATCTAAACATGGCTGGGTGCAATGTTGAGTTTAGCCATGACAAGTGGAGCCAGATCTAAACATGGCTGGGTACAATGTTGAGTTTAGCTAAGACAAGTGGAGCCAGATCTAAACATGGCTGGGTGCAATGTTGAGTTTAGCCAAGACAAGTGGAGCCAGATCTAAACAAGGCTGGGTACAATGTTGAGTTTAGCTAAGACAAGTGGAGCCAGATCTAAACAAGGCTAGATTCAATAACTCTTTTTCACTCAGTCTCTTGGCTCAAGTCATTTGCACATTCCCCTGTGTTTTTCCATCATTCACTCACATAATTCATGATTTATTTCACTTGACTTGCACCAGTCAATCTGCTTGCTTGCCATGCATTCAAATATGTAACTGGTTCATCCTTAACCCAGTTCATCCGAACTAAGGTACATTATTTATAGTTATTTTTTAAACTCATTATTTATGCCTACATTAATTATCAGGAGAAACTGTCTCATTTCGCTAGGGTTTCCATATTTTGATCATCCGAAATAAGAACACTTCTCCCGATGTTAGATTAAGTGTCTGTGTCATCTCCATGGGTCAAGTCTGCCTACAGTCTACCACTTTTGCCTTTGGGAATGATACTTGGGGAGGCACTAGTCTCTCTCACAGTAGAACTCTTGTACAGTTTTACAAAAACCATGAAAACAATTTGTGTTTACCGTCTACCCCTGGGAAGGAACACTAGTATTAGAGGATCATGGCAATAAATTCTCCTAACATGAAATCGCATGCAAAATATGTTGCAAGTGTATATTTTTTTTCGGATAACCTCATCTCTTTATAACATCTTTTTGTTTTTAGCTTTTATGTTTGTATGTGCAGCAAATGTTCATAAAATTATCTGTCTGTAAAATGTTTGAAATTAAATTGTTCAAGTTAAACTGACCTGACTGAATCCATACTTCCTGTGTGGGTCTCAGGGCCACATTATTGTAGAAACAAGAGTAGACCCACTGTCTCCCCAGCAAGCATGTCATAGGAGTCGAATAACTGGGTGCTTCCTTCGAAATCAGACTACATCTGTTCCAGCGGCAAGGAATAACCAACTGCACACAAATAAGCCAGTAAAACAGATGTACACAAGCAAAACTCAGGCCCTGGTACAAAGCCAAAGTCCAAATGGACGAACAACCAGGACTTTGCGCCGGAGCTTACAGCCGGTGAACAAAGGAGAAGAGAAAGGAGAAGTATCCACACTGAGAATAATTTCTGTCACTTGGGCCTTGGGCATGGATGAAGAAAATACTCTTTCTGCCTAAACACTGTGTGCTGAAAAAAGCAAAGTAGAACTCTACCATCTTCACAATTTCAGAGCAAAAGTCACTGCTCCTACAGTTTTCAGTGTAGTCACATACTGTTCATTTTGTCTTGACTTGTTAAATTGCAGGAAAACATCCATAA